GGGAGGAGAGACAGAAACAGAAAAAGTGAGGAAGGGGTAGAGGGTGGGGAGAAACATTGCAGGTGAGATGCAGAACTTTCAATGAAACTTTATGCCATGATCCCTTCCCTTCTGCTCCCAGAAACAGCCAAGGGATTTTCCAGAAACAGAAAGTGCTGGAGAAACTCAGCAGGTTGTGTCTGTGGGGAGAGAAACAGAGTTAATGTTTACAGTCTGTAATGTCCCTTCAAAATCCCTTCAGTTCCAAACAGTCATGTTGAAACCAAACTGTTCACACAGCTTCTCTCTGCAGGCACACATACTAACATAGCAAATAGGGAACAGGAGGGGGCCATTCAGCCCTTCGAGCCTGCTATGCGATGCTTCACTATCATGGCTGGTCGTCCAACTCAACAGCCTGATCCTGCTTTCTCCCCATAACCTTCAATCCCATTCGCCCCCAAGTGCTGTATCTAGTCGTTTCTTGAATACATTCAATATTTTGCATCAACTACTTCCTGTGGCAACGTATTCCACAGGGTCACCGCTCTCTGGGTGAAGAAATGTCTCCTCATCTCCGTCCTAAATGGTGCACCCCGAATCCTCAGGCTGTGACCCCTGGACACACCCACCACCAGAATATGCTCAATTTCTCCACACTCCCACTCACTCACACACACTCCCACTCACTCACAGACACACACACACTCACACACACACACAGACACACACACACACACACACCATTCAGCCCAGTCTGCCGATGCCCCTCCTGCCCCAAGTTAGCAACCACTCCCACCGCTCAGGGTCACCGTGAGCTGCATCTTGTCACTAAGACGTCATCAGCCTCCCCATGGACTCCAGGACAAGGATATCCTGAGCAGCTACGTCTCTGGGGTCACTCTCCAGCACTGACCACTCCAAAGACCGTGGTCTGGTTTAGGGAGGCGGAGTGAGGCCTGTATTGTACCTTATACCCCGGCCCCAATCCCTCTGAGTCAGCCAGCAACAAAGCTAACGTTTCCAGTCTAGGTGACTCTTCATCTGATCTCCAGCTTTTGTTGATTTTGGTACAGATTCCAGCATCTGCAGTAATTTACCCTCCCGATTCTCCTATGGGCCACATTTACCCCCATGGGATCACCACCACACATGGCACCCCCACCTGCCCAAGGACCTGTCTTCCAACTGCCAACTTAAACAGAGCTCCATGCACCAGCCCTCCCCAGGCCCAGGGTTGGAAGCTGACAGATTGCCAGGGCAAGAAGGGGAATACATCCAGTTGGAATTGTAGATCCAACACGTCTCCCAGTGCAGGAATGGAAGCAGCATTCAATTGATGATGGGAGGACCATGGAGAAGTGGGCAATGGGCAATAATGCACTCTGGGATACAGGAGGACCATGGAGGAGTGGGCAATGGGCAATAATGCACTCTGGGATACAGGAGGACCAT